CCAAAGTGCTAGGATTACGGGCGTGAGCCACCACGCCCAGGTTTTTTTTTTTTTTTTTTAACAGAACAGCCATAGTTTGCCCAACCGCTGTTATGGAGAGGGCAAGTACAAACAATCCACTGTTACTGCCTTATGTAAAAGCAGCCTGAACATTTGTCAAACTCCTGAGAAGAACTGTTCGAACTCAATGAAAAAGGTTTGTGTGTGATTAGAATGCTGCCTCCTTATGCTTTTTAAAATTTAAAATAAACTAAAACTGAGTATATAAAAAACAAATAGTATATATGTCCAAGAAGATTTTTAAGCATTCACATTCCTATAAGGGCTGGCAACACAAGTCTTTAAAAATTGATCTAGCCTTATTACAAGCAAAAAAAAAAAAAAAAAAATCTATAGAATTGCCATAACTCATTTTACAAAATACTGCACTAAAGTTGTAAAGCACCTATTGGGGGAGAAGCATAATATTAGATACCTCTCTGTAGGTCTTATGCCCATCACCAGTTCTCATGACCATATAAGAAGGCATTTACCCCATGGTGTCAACTGCATTTTCTCCAATTTTCAGGATCATAAGGTGAGTCACACTGACCTAAGCACCTGGAAATATTTTCTTCTGGCAGGCACCAGGTGACTCTGGCAGCTAGGTAACTTTAGGAAACAAGGTGTTCCCACCCAAGCTCTCCCACCTCTTTATTCTGCTGTGTCTGCTGCCACCTCCAGCGCCTTTTCAATGCTTCCTTCTCAACTCCCTTCTCCATCAGTGCATACAAAGCTTTTCGCAGCATCAAGTCTCGATCATGGAAACCCCACATCCCTGTAGCAAGAAGGTATAATGGTAAGATACCTCAGCTTGATTCTGCTAATTTTTGTATTTTTAGTAGAGACAGGGTTTCACCATGTTGGCCAGGCTGGTCTCCTACTCCTGGCCTCAAGTGACCCGCCAGCCTCACCCTCCCAAAGTGTTGGGATTACAAGTGTGAACCATGGCACCTGGCTGCAAATAATATACTGAGTTGTAAATTGGCTTTTTTTTTTTTCTTTTCTTTTTTTTTGAGACGGAGTTTCGCTATTGTTACCCAGGCTGGAGAGCAATGGCACGATCTCGGCTCACCACAACCTCCGCCTCCTGGGTTCAGGCAATTCTCCTGCCTCAGCCTCCTGAGTAGCTGGGATTACAGGCACGTGCCACCATGCCCAGCTAATTTTTTTTTTGTATTTTTAGTAGAGACGGGGTTTCACCATGTTGACCAGGATGGTCTCGATCTCTTGACCTCGTGATCCACCCGCCTTGGCCTCCCAAAGTGCTGGGATTACAGGCTTGAGCCACCGCGCCCGGCCATTTTTTTTTTGAGACAGAGTCTTGCTCTATTGCCCAGGCTGGAATGCAGTGATCTCGGCTCACCACAACCTCTGCGTCTCCTGGATTCAGTGGTTCTCCTGCCTCAGCCTCCCTAGTAGCTTGTATTACAGGTGCCCGCCACCATGCCCCACTAATTTTTTTTACTTTTAGTAGAGACGGGGTTTCACCGTGTTGGCTAGGCTGGTCTCGAACTCCTAGCCTCAAGTGATCTGCCCACCTTGGCCTCCCACAGTGTTGGGATTATACGTGTGAGCCAGTAGCCACTGCGCCTAGTCCTTACTTTAAATTATTAAGCCTGTTTACAGCACAATGGCTCCCACCTGTAATCACGAATACCTGAGAGGCTGAGGCAGGAGAATCACTTGAACCCAGGGGCAGAGGTCCAACCTGGGCAACAGAGTGAGACTCTGTCTCAAAAACTAAATGGGCTGGGCACAGTGGCCCATGCCCATAGTCCCAGCACTTTGGGAGGCCGAGGCAGGCGGATCACAAGGTCAAGAGATCAAGACCATCCTGGCCAATATGGTGAAACCCTTCTCTACTACAAATACAAAATTAGCTGGGCGTGGTGGTGCAAACCTGCAGTCCCTGCTACTCGGAAGCCTGAGGCAGGAGAATCCCTTGAACCTGAGAGGCAGAGGATGCAGTGAGCCAAGACGCACCACTGCATTCCAGCCTGGTGACAGAGCGAGACTCTGACAGAGCGAGACTTGGTCTCTAAATATGTAAATAAATAAAGTAAGTGTGTGTCACAATGGACTGCTAAAACCATATCTTTTTCATATACCAAAAGAATAAATATTAAGTAGAACTGAACACATACACACATCTAGCTATACATCGCTGGCTTGCTCCTACTCGTTACTCCCTGGGTCAGCTCTCAGAGCCGGCCCAAGCCAATACCTGTGCTTCCTTCACTGTCTAACTAGCAAAAGTACGGTTCACTCCCATTTCCTCTTGTGCCAACATAAACACATAAACACACACACACACACACACACACGCAAGCACGCACAATCTTGATCTGAACCATCACTTCTGCCTAAGATCAAGGTTGTCTGGATGGAGTCCTACACACGAGATTTGACTCAATTGCTTCCTTTCTGCAGGGGAATGGAGCACTGCTTTGAAGACTCACCAAGGGAGGCTGCATGCAAGAGGCAGTTCCCATCTCCAGTTGTTGCCAAAGGAAGCAGCCTCTGACAGGTGGGGTCCACACTCACCCACCAGTTCAAACGCCCTGTGGAAAGAAGAGAGTGGAGAAAAAGGAGTAGATTATCCATGAAGCCCTTCCCACCGTATTTCTAAAACAGACTCCAAAGCAGCCTCCTCTAGGAGGCCTACCAAGAATAAAACCATCACTCGATTACTCTTTACATCTTTTTCACTTATATTTAGTCAGTCAGAAACTTGTGAGCACAATTGGTTAGATCAGTGAGTAGATTAATTTTGTCCCAAAGGGACACTGGCACTGAAGATCTGTTTGCATGTCACAACTGGTAGGGGAATCCTACTGGCATCCAATGGGTAGAGGCCAAGGATACTGCTAACCATGATATAATGCACAAGGCAGCCTGCAAAACAAAGAATTATCTAGACCAAAATGTCGATAGTGCCAAGGTTGAGAAACCCTGGGTTAAATGGCGAGGCCAAGGACATAAGTTGAAACTGCTGACTTCTAGGACCGGCTCTGATTCCTTCCCTCCACTCAGGAGACCAGTATATATTACAGCAACAAAGCTCAGCAAAAATCCATCATGAACAAAACAAAAACAACTCAAAGCATGTATTTAAAGTGTCTTATGAGTACCATCTGCATATATGACAGCATGTCGGCATGTGTGGGGTGTGACTTTAAAAAGCATAAGCAATAAGACAAAGTACATAAAATACCCAAGAAAATAAGTCGTAATTCTGTACAGTCATCCCACAGTTGCCAACCCATTATTTACATGAGGAAGATATTTTATGAGTGATGTGTAAGTTTTCTTGAACTACTGTGGAGCCTAGTTTCTTGAACTACTTAAAGAAAAAGTGGCTTATAATCTCCCCAGCGGTGATAATTTATTATCTTAAAAAAAAAATTACAAATTTCTGGTAATAAGAAATCTTTCTTATCAGAAAAAAAAAGAAAAAAGAAAAAAAATTACAAATAGATGTATGTGGTTAGAAGGTCACAAAATGAAAAATAAAACCTTCCTTTCATGCCCCCATCTAACTCCAGTTCTTCTCCCATGCAAGCATTTTAATGCCTGATAAGCTTTTCCAGAACTTCCAGCTGTCTCAACCTATGACAATAATCAATTTTAATAATAATTTAAGATAAACACAATTACAAAGGTAAATAAATTTGGGGGGACAGGTTCAGTACTGAGCATCATCTACAGCATTAGCCATTTCTGTTCACAAGGGTGTTCCAGGGCCAATTATAATTAGTTGTATTTTTTTCATGCATTGATTTCAAGTATTGATTCCTAGGCCTTTGCATATGTGTATCTGGTTTCTCTTCCAACAAACAGGAAATTTCCAGGGTAAAGTATCTAATCTGTATCCTTTCTTTAACGTCAGCACAAGTTCATCCCACTGACTCCTGACTTTGACTGCAATCAGATCACACACTGGATCTACTGATCCACAACTGGACGCTACTGATCAAGCCCAGACCGTCCATCTGGTTGCCTGTAGGTGGAGAGTAGAGGCGGCAAAGCATGGGAAAGGAAGCACTCACTGACCTGCCTGTTCCAAGGCGACCAGCATGGACTGCTCAATGAGATCTCTCTCTATGAAGCTGCGGAAGTCTTCATTATACACAGTAAGATCTGGAAGCTGGAAGGCACAGATGGGCATTTCCAGGGGGTGCTCATTGCTCCCCCCACCCCCACCATTGGAGGAGACATGGGACCGGGCCAGGGAAACAATGCTGGAGCTGGCGTGGGAGATGCCCCTAGACAGGCGTTTTTCTGCAATGAGAAATGGAGTCACCTTAGAACATACACAGCCCACTTGAAGAACTCTCCAGTTGATGTGCTGATAGTTACCTCTCAACAGGGTTTATAGTCAGAGAAAAACTAAGTCTAACTGACTGGTGAATTTCACAACCCTTTTTCTGAAGCCAATTGTTTGGAGAAATATAGAAAATATTTTGCAGGCACTCACATTAGCACCAACTATCCATTTCTCTTTCTACTTTTGTCTGGAATTTGCCTCGTCTTCCCCTCCCTCTAACTCTGTCTTCCTCCACTTGCATTTCCCAATGTGATAGGGACCCATTCATTTAGCAAGTTCGTCATTGTTTGGTGAGAGGAGAAGGGAATAACGGAAGTGAGGTTTCACTGGAGTTTGTCAAATAATCTCTCTGGTAATTCTCAAGGTCCTGGAAAGCACTTTTCTATAATGGAAACCTTTTTCCATTATAGAAAAGAAAATCCTTTGGGAGGCTGAGGTGGGTGGATCACCTGAGGTCAGGAGTTCGAGACCAGCCTGGCCAACATGGCAAAACCCAGTGTCTACTAAAAATACAAAAATTAGCCAGTGTGGTGGTGCACCCCTGTAATCCCTTGGGAGGCTGAGGTAGGAGAATTGCTTAAACCTGAGAGGTGGAGGCTGCAGTGACCTGAGATTGTACCACTGCATTCCAGCCTGGACAATAGAGAGAAACCCCATCTCAAAATAAAATAAAATAAACAACGTATCTTACACATTTGGGAGCTTTCTTCCTACATCAATAACATTTACTTATATTGCTTACCAAAACTTTTCTCAATACTCATATTTATCAGAAATTCATAGGGACACTCAGTTCTTAAACAGTCTATAGAGGAGAACAATAATGTAGACAGTACCCCATATCATTTCATTTGTTTCGAACACATGACACTTGTAATTCCCAAGCAGATATTCCACTGTAAGTACAATTTGTTCAACGTAGTATTACAGTTCATTTGCATGGCTTCAGTTATGTAATGATTTAATGATGATCCACAGGGGGAAAAATTTCAAAAGCATGTTGCGTAGCCTCTTAATACAGTATTTGCCAGAGATGATGCACAAAATAAACTGAGTTATCTAAACTAATTTTATTTTAAAAATATTTTTTAGTTTTGTTTTTTGTTTTTCTTTTTGAGACAGAGCTTCACCCTTGTTGCGCAGGCTGAAGCGCAATAGTGTGATCTCAGCTCACTGCAACCTCTGCCTCCAGGGTTCAAGCAACTCTCCTGCCTCAGCCTCCTGAGTACCTGGGATTACAGGTGCCCACCACCATGCCCAGCTAATTTTTGAATTTTTAGTAAAGATGGGGTTTCACTATGTTGGCCAGGCTGGTCTCGAACTCAGGAGATCCACCCGCCTTGGCCTCCCAAAGTTTTAGGATTACAGGTGTGAACCACTGTGCTGGCCTTGTTTTTGTTCTTTGAGATGGAGTCTTGCTCTGTCACTCAGGCTAGAGTGCAGTGCTGCAATCTTGACTCACTGCAACCTCCGCCTCCCAGGTTCAAGCGATTCTCCTGCCTCAGCCTCCTGAGTAGCCAGAATTACAGGCACGTGCCAACATGCCCAGCAAATGTTTTTTTGTATTTTTAGTAGAGACGGAGTTTCTCCATGTTGGCCATGCTGGTCTCCTCAAACTCCTGGCCTCAAAGTGACCTGCCAGCCTTGGCCTCCCAAAGTGCTGTGATTACAGGCGTGAGCCACCACGCCCACCTTAAAAATATTTTTTAGGTATTCTGAAACTACCACATAGGCTGGCCATGGTGGCTTACACCTGTAATCCCAAAACTTTGGAAAGCCAAGGTGGAGGGATCATTTGAGCCCAGGAGCTCTAGATCAGCCTGGGCAACAGAGTGAGACCTCATTTCTACAAAGAATCAAAAATTTAGCTAGGTGAGGTGGTGCGTGCCCATGGTCCCAGCTACTTGGGAGCTATGTTCCACCAGCCTCACTCCAGCCTTGGGAAATAGAGCAAGACCCTGCCTTAAAAAAGTACCATGTGCCTATGATTAAAAAAAATCCATATACTATCAAAAGGTATAAAATGATTTCACAAGGAAGTCTTCTTTTCATTCAAAATTCCTGATCCCTTCCTGAGGGGCAAACTTTTGTATCCTTCTAGAAATTTTTGTGCATATATAGCTTTCAATTTTTTTTTTTTTTTTTTTGAGATGGAGTTTCGCTCTTGTTGCCCAGGCTGGAGTACAATGGTGCAATCTTGGCTCACTGACACCTCTGCCTCCTGGGTTCAAGCAGTTCTCCTGATTCAGCCTCCTGAGTAACTGGGATTACAGGCATGCGCCACCATGCACAGCTAATTTTGTGTTTTTAGTAGAGATGGGGTTTCTCCATGTTGGTCAGGCTGGTCTCAAACTGCCGACCTCAGGTAATCTGCCCGCCTCAGCCTCCCAAAGTTCTGGGATTACAGGTGTGAGCCACTGTGCCCGGCTAAAATCATCTTTTAAAACACAAATGAGAGTGCACTGTATGCTACATACATTGCATTGTGTCTTACCTTTCAGAAAACTTTTGTTTTTTCATGTAGTGTCTCTGTCACCCAGGCTGGAGTGCGGTGGCGCAATCTCGGCTCACTGCAACCTCTGCCTCCTGGCTCAAGCAATTCTCCTGCCTCAGCCTCCCAAGTAGCTGGGATTACAGGTGTGTACTAATTTTTGTAATTTTAGCAGAGACAGGGTTTCACCATGTTGGCCAGGCTGGTCTTGAACTCCTGACCTCAGATGATCCACCAGCCTTGACCTCCCAAAGTACTGGGATTACAGGCATGAGCCACCACACCCAGTCCCTTTCTGAATCGATTTTAGAAATTTTTCCAAAACAAGGCCAGGCGCGGTGGCTCAAGCCTATAATCCCAGCATTTTGGGAGGCCAAGGCAGGTGGATCACGAGGTCAAGAGATTGAGACCATCCTGGTCAACATGGTGAAACCCCGTCTCTACTAAAAATACAAAAAATTAGCTGGGCATGGTGGTGCGTGCCTGTAATCCCAGCTACTCAGGAGGCTGAGGCAGGAGAATTGCCTGAACCCAGGAGGCGGAGGTTGCGGTGAGCTGAGATCGCGCCATTGCACTCCAGCCTGGGTAACATGAGTGAAACTCCGTCTCAAAAAAAAAAACAAAAAACAAAAAACAAACAAACAAAAAACAGTGCACCAAGTTCTACCTAATTCTTTCTAATGACTGCAGAGTATTACACAATATGGATGATTACAATTTACTTAACCACTCCTTTACTAATGGACATTAAATGTTTTCAGAGCCAGGTGTGGTGGCTCACACCTATAATCCCAGCACTTCAGGGGGCCAAGGCAGATGGATTGCCTTAAGAAAAAAAAAAGTTTCAAGATTTAATTACTGTAAAATAATGCTGCTGTCAATATCCTTATCTACTGCATTTATGTACCTTTTAAAATTTGTATTTATTTATTTATTTATTTATTTATTTTGAGATGGAGTCTTGCTCTGTCGCCAGGCTGGAGCGTAGTGGCACAATCTCAGCTCACTGCAACCTCTGCCTCCCAGGTTCAAGTGATTCTTCTGCCTCAGCCTCAAGAGTAGCTGGGATTACAGGACTGCACCACCATGCCCAGCTCATGTTTCTATTTTTAATAGAGATGGGGTTTCACCATGTTGACCAGGCTGGTCTCAGACCTCAGGTGATCTGCCCACCCCGGTGTCCCAAAGTGCTGGGATTACAAGAGTGAGCCACCACGCCCTGCCTATGTATTTCTTTATTTAAAGGATATATATGTACACATACACATATATGATAAACTCCTAGATATGAAATTGCTGAGTCAAAGAGTGTACATTTTAATTTTGACAAGATATTGGGAAATATTAACAAATTACCCCCCAAAGAGGTAGGAACTCTTTCAGTTCTACCTTTATGTGAACTTTCTATCAACAAGCACACTGTTATCCTCCTTCCTCTATTTCTTTCACAGTATCTGAGGAAGGCTTTTATACAGCGTAACACTAAAGATGCAGAGACACAGTGAGGGACTGAAGCACCCAGGCAGACTGAGGCCACCTCAATCTGGGTTCAGCTGGGAGGAGGGGAAAAAACAGAATCACCTCCAATTGATCACTAGACTTTATGACTCCATTTAACAGTCCACTCCCTTCCTACTCCATATACAGAAACATTCCCCAGTCACCCCAGTACCTTGAACGATGTCATCCTGCCGTTGTAGGATGGGACGGGGAGGGCGAGTAGGCTCTCTGTCAGAAAATCCTTTTTCAGGGGTCCTGGAGCCACCACTTCCTTCACTAAAGGATGGAGGTAGGTTCCCAGCATGGACTTGACGTAGCTGTTCAAAATCACTGAGGGCAGCACTCACATCCCAATTCTTTCCTGTCAGGAGACAAAGCAAAAAGGGAACTGTGCACCCAGAGTATAGAGAAACTGGAGGGAGAGACACAAAGATCACACTAACTATCCCATCAAAACCAGCAAGCATATACGCATGCACATTTCAATCATGGTTCTTTTCCTTACGCTGTTTTAATTTTTTTAACACTTCAATCTAATTTATCTAATGCACTTACTTACTTATTTGTTGTCTATTTCATAAGTAACCTCCATGAAGATAGAAACTTTGTCCCCCTGAACTAAAAGAGCCCTTAAAGATCTAGTAACCTAAAATTAAAACTTCCTTTTACAGATAAAGAAAACAAAGCCTAGAGAAGTAAATTATTTGCCCAAAGTCAGCTAATTCACACTATACCCAGCAGGACTCAAGCGCAGGTCCCCTATTTCTGAGATCCAAAGAGGTTCTTAGCCTACATGTACTCTAATGTGTCCTAAACACTGATCCTGCATAGAAGATCATGGGCTTGTGCATTTTCTAGTGGAAGAGTTTATAGCTATCATCCACTTATCGAAGGAAATTATATTTCCCCCAAATTTAAGAATCACCATTCTACTAAAGAAATGACCTGCCGGGCGCAGTGGCTCAAGCCTGTAATCCCAGCACTTTGGGAGGCCGAGGCGGGTGGATCATGAGGTCAAGAGATCAAGACCATCCTGGTCAACATGGTGAAACCCCGTCTCTATTAAAAATACAAAAAATTAGCTGGGCATGGTAGTGCGTGCCTGTGATCCCAGCTGCTCGGGAGGCTGAGGCAGGAGAATTGCCTGAACCCAGGAGGCGGAGGTTGCAGTGAGCCGAGATCGTGCCACTGCACTCCAGCCTGGGTAACATGAGTGAAACTCCATCTCAAAAAAAAAAAGGAAAAAGAAAAAGAAATGACCTTTGATGATAGATTTGTCATAATGGATTTTTCTGATGCTTTCTCCAGTTAAATCATTCAATAAATAAGCATTGTATAATTACTCACACTTCTTTCTTGTTCTATTCCATCTGCTACCGCCTTAATTCAATTCCTGTCAGCTATTGTCCTACCTCCAATCCATTCCAAAGAATTCCATGAGATTAATCTTTCTAAAGCACAGTTATGATCATTTTAGTTCAATAATCAAGATTTTTAATGGCTTACCACTGCCTACAGAATAAAACTTAGTCTCTTTTGCCTGAAACTCAAGGCTTTCTACGTTCTGGCCTACTTTTCTACCTCTTCACTGTGCTTCAATTTCCTTATCTGTGAAAATGCAGGTGACAGTAACAGTGCTTACCTGGCAGAGTTGTTACGAAGATTAAATAAGTTGAAAGCACTTAGAACAGTGCTTGGTTTACTTAAAATTTTACTTCTAAATCATTACTGATGATTTTCCTTCTAAAGCATTGTGTTAGCCAATTGTTCTGACTCCCTTTGCTCACTCTGTTCCAGTCACCACTGACCTTGCTGTTCCTAGAACATGCTAAGTCCACTCCTACTCTAGGGCCTTTCCACTGACTATTCCCTCTACCTAGAAGGCTCTTTCCCCAATATATCCACACAGACAGCTCCTCATCAGCTTTAGGGATTTGCTTAAACATCACATTGTTGGTAAGGTCTACCCTGACTACCCAATTAAAAATCACAACCACCTCATCATTCCCTTTACTCTCTTCCATAGCACTTGACAGCTTATAATATGCTTTATAATTTAGTTAGTTATCATGTTTGTTGTTTATTGACTCACTCTCCTGCTAGAACATTTTGTTTATTTTGTTTTAGGCATCTAGAACAGTACCTGGCACATAGTAGTCATGCAATAAATATTTGCTAAATTAATGGAGAACTCTTATCCTGAATCAATGCATGAATGAGTGACATCTGCCTTGAGGATCAAATCTATATTTCCAACTATCTGCAAATCTCCTAAAAATCAGGTCCTCCTAACAATCCACAGGGCCAAATTGGATATCCATCAGTTTCTTTCCCAAAGCTTGCTGCTTCTCCTCTTCCTATGTTTCCTAAATCAGTCATGGCATCACAATCCCTCCAGGCCCTGAAACTTCAGTCATTTTCAGCTCCTCACATTTCCTCAGATCACACAATCTTCATGGTTGTTTGTACCCCTAAAACATCTCTCAAATCCATTTCTTATTATCCATTTTTATTGCCTCTGCCCTAATTCAGGTCCTCATAATCTTTACTTAGTCTTTGATCTTTTAGGAAGGAACTCTCTATCTGATCTCTCTGCTTCTAATCTCTTTGCTCTACAACCAGTTAGCTTTTGATTTCTTTCTCTTCTTTTCAATTATCAGTATTGAACAGTCCTATTAGCCAGGTGTGATGGTGTGCGCTTGTGGTCTTAGCTACTCAGGAAGCTGAGGTGGGAGGATCACTTGAGCCCAGGAGGCAGAGGTTGCAGTGAGCTAAGATCACACAACTGCACTCAGCCTGGATGACAAAGTGGGACCCTATCTCAAACAAAACAAAACAAAAGCCAAACAGTCCTATTGCAATACAATTAGTTAACTTTTTTTTTTTCCTTTCTTTTAAGACCCAGTCTTGCTGTCGCCCAGGCTGGAGTGCAGTGGCACTATCTCGGCTCACTGCAACCTCTGCCTCCTGGGTTCAAACGATTCTCCTCTCTCAGTCTCTCAAGTAACTGGAATAACAGGCGTGTGCCACCACGCCCAGTTAATTTTTGTATTTTTAGTAGAGATAGGGTTTCACCATGTTGGCCAGGCTGGTCTCGAACTCCTGACCTCAGGCAATCCGCCCACCTCAGCCTCCCAAAGTACTGGGATTACAGGCGTGAGCCACCATGCCCAGCCAATATTCCTGTTTTAATCACTTCTTCTCTGGCCACAGAGTTCTCTACAAGTACTGTTAAAAACTCAAAGCCAATCATGTCACTCCCCTGATAAAAATCTTTCACTAGTTTCCTAGTGAACCTAGAATAAAATTTAAATTCCTCATCATGGCCTATAAAAGCCCTGCATCATTCTTTTTTTTTTTTTTTTTTTTTTTTTTTTTCTTGAGACAGAGTCTCGATCTGTAGCCAGGCTGGAGTGCAGTGGTGCGATCTCAGCTCACTGCAACCTCTGCCTCCCAGGTTCAAGCAATTCTCCTGTCTCAGCCCCCCGAGTAGCTGGGACTACAGACCCATGCCACCAGGCCTGGCTAACTTTTTATATTTTTAATGGAGACAGGGTTTCACCGTGTTAGCCAGGATGGTCTCAATCTCCTGAACTTGTGATCCACCCACTTGGCCTCCCAAAGTGCTGGGATTACAGGCGTAAGCCACCACGCCCAGTCTCTCTTTTTTTTTTTTTTTTTTGTGAGACGGAGTCTTGCTCTGTTGCCAGGCTAGAGTGCAGTGGCATTATCTCAGCTGGAATTACAGGCATCTACCACCATACCTGGCCAATTTTTGTATTTTTAGTAGAGATGGAGTTTCACCATCTTGGCCAGGCTGGTCTCGAACTCCTGCCCTCGTGATCTACTCACCTAGGCCTCCCAAAGTGCTGGGATTATAGGCATGAGCCACTGCGCCCAGCCCTTTTCTTTTTTCTTTTTCTTTTTCTTTTTTTTTTTTTTTTTGAGACAGTCTCACTCTGTCATCCAGGCTGGAGTACAGCAGTACAATCTCAGCTCACTGCAGCCTCTGCTTCCTGGGTTCAAGCGATTCTCCTGCCTCAGCCTCCCGAACAGCTGGAATGACAGGTAACGTCACCACGCCCAGCTAATTTTTGTAGTTTTAGTAGAGACGGGGTTTCACCATGTTGGCCAGGCTGGTCTCAAACTCCTTACCTCAGGTGATCACCTGCCTCTCAGCCCCTAAAGCGCTGCGATTACAGGCATGAGCCACCACACCTGGCCTCTTTTTTTCTTTCTTTTTTTTTTTTGGTCTTGCTATGTTGCCCAGGCTGGTCTCAAATTCCTGGGTTCAAGCAATCCTCCCACCTCGGCCTCCCAGGTAGCTGGGATTACAGTGAATGCCATCATACCTGGCTAGAGCCCCTATTTTCTGCTTCCTGCCTGTCTAACCAGCTGCCTACCGCTCTTGCACCGTTTTTTGTTTTTTGTTTTTTTGAGATGGAGTTTCGCTCTTGTTGCCCAGGCTGGAGTGCAATGGTGCAATCTTAGCTTACTGCAAACTCTGCCTCCCGGGTTCAAGCAATTCTCTTGACTCAGCCTCTCAAGTAGCTGGGATTACAGGCATGCACCACCACGCCTGTCTAATTTTGTATTTTTAGTAAAGACAGGGTTTCTCCATGTTGGTCAGGCTGGTCTCAAACTCCCAACCTCAGGTGATCTGTCTACCTCACCCTCCCAAAGTTCTGGGATCACAGGCAAGAACCACTGTGCCCGGCCTCTTGCACCATTCTTAATATCACAATTATTAATAGTTTTTCCAATGAGCCAAACTCTCTTGCAACTTAGGGCCCTTGCATAAGCTGTTTATTCCACATAAACACTCTCTTCTACATCCTTTGTCTTGCTACTCCTACTTGTCCTTCAGGGCTTGGCTTAAAAATCACTCCTCAGAAAAGGCTTTCCTGCCCTCTAGATCTAAGTTAGGGTTCTCGCTTCACTCTCACAGCAGCCTCAACATTTCTTTCACAGCATGTGAGAAAGAGAGAGAGAGAGTGTGTGTGTGCCTGCACGCTAGCAATAATTTGTAACGTAATTGTTTAGAGCCATATTCCAAAACTAGATTGCCTAGGTTCAAATCCTACTTCACTGAGCCTCAGGTTTTAAAATTATAACTCCAGGATAATAAAACTTTATTTTAGGGTGGTTGTGAGAATAAAGTATCTTCAAGTACTATGCACACATTGAACATTCTTAAGTGTTCAACATATCTTGTAAGAGGAATGTAGAAAGGTTAAGGATTTTATGAAAGAGGAAACATTTGAGCTGAATGTTGAAGGATGAGGAGAACAATAGAGGAAAGAAATGTAGCAGACTGAGGAAGTAACCTGACATGATCACCGAGAGGTCACAAGTCGGGCCTGGCTGGAGCACAGGAAGTACAGGGAAAAGTAGTAGGAGATGAAACTGAAAATGCAAATTAAGGGCAAAGTTGTACTGAATTAGTAAACTGGAATGTAAACCCTGATCTTCTGTTTCCAAATTCATGCTCTTCTCACAGGTAGCCAAGCAAATGTCAAATTGTGACATCTTGCTAAGGGCTGACAATTTAAAATATTACCTATGTATGCTAAGAACCTGCCCCTTCCCCATAGGCCTGCCTGTTTGTGTCATTATATATATAGGCCTGCCTGTTTGTGTCATTATATTTTCATATTTTCTTCTATTATTTGTGACTCTAAATGAAGAATCCTAGGGACATGATTCTAACACTTTAGGATCTTAAAGTTTAGAACATTCAAACTTATGTATATAAAAATATAAGTAAACAAAAGCAGCAAAATGAAAACATTAAATTGATTCACTCAACATAGAATTACCCATAATATATGTTACATAAAGAAAGAAAACCATGGATGATCCCAAGCATGAAAACCCTGAAGTCACTTACATATAAAGAGGAAGTCTTACAGATCTAAAGTTATGTTTTTAGGCAGAGTACGGTGGCTCACGCCTGTAATCCCAGCAATTTGGGAGGCCGAGGCAGGCAGATCCCTTGAGGTATGGAGTTCAAGACCAGCCTGGCCAACATGGTGAACCCTTGTCTCTCCTAAAAAATACAAAAATCAGCCATGTGTGGTGGTGGGCACCTGTAATCCCAGCTACTCGGGAGGCTGAGACAGGAGAATTGCTTGAACCTGGAAGGCAGAAGTTGCAGTGAGCCAAGATCATGTCACTACACTCCAGCCTGGGCAACAGAGCAAGACTCTGTCTCAAAAAAATAAACAAATAAAATAAAATAATGTTTGTAATGTACGAATATAAATTTTCACTTGCATTGCCTGAGCATCAAGTGGAAAAAGCTATACCAGGAAGTTCAATGTGAAAAAGGGATTTTAAATTTTTAAATTATGATGGGTTATACACAAGTATATCATTAGAATTAACTGTAAGGCCTACCATACACAGGGTATCTTTCTGATCACCTTAAATGTTCCAAATCATCCTAATGATAAATACCCATTTTACTTATTCTTTTCTCATTCTCCCCTACGACTCCTCACCTTCTAGGAGATCTCGCGCCAGCCCTGGCTCTGCTCCTGTGGAACGGACAAAATCCGACAGGACAGCATCCATGTCCAGGGTCATGTGATCATTAAGTACCTTCAGGCAGCTGGATGTAGGTAGAACAAAGTTCAAAATTCAGGCCTCTACCTGAGGAAGAAATAAATACATAAGGCTCAAATTACACTGGAACAGGATAATCACAGCCCCATGTCAGCAGCTTCCTAACCAAATGGGGAAACTATCCTAGCTCATTCATTTAAGTTGATAGCAGTTTAAAATTATGAAGAGTAACATTTTATTTCCTAACTCTTCATTAACATTAGTATCTGGTTTTGTTTGTTTGTTTGAGACAGAGTATTGCTCTTTCGTCAGGCGCCAGGCCATAGAGCAGTGACATAATCTTGGCTCACTGCAACCTCCGCCTCCTGGACGCAAGCAATTCTCCTGCCTCAGCCTCCGGAGTAGCTGGGACTACAGGCATGGGCCACCACACGCAGCTAATATTTTGTATTTTTAGTAGAGACGGCGTTTTACTGTGTTGGCCAGCATGGTCTCGATCACCTGACCTCGTGACCTACCCACCTCAGCCTCCCAAAGTGCTGGGATTACCATGCCCTGAGCCGCTGCACCTGGGGAACATTAATATCTTAAAGACTGCATTAACCAGTAACCTATAATGCCACTCTGAATAATGCTTTCCCTGTACTTTTTCTGAGTACTGTTTTTCTTTTTTTTTTTTTGAGACGGAGTTTCACTCATGTTACCCAGGCTGGAGTGCAATGGCGCGATCTCGGCTTACCGCAACCTCCACCTCCTGGGTTCAGGCAATTCTCCTGCCTCAGCCTCCTGAGTAGCTGGGATTACAGGCACGCACCACCATGCCCAGCTAATTTTTGTATTTTTAGTAGAGACGGGGTTTCACCATGTTGACCAGGATGGTCTCGATCTCTTGAGCTCGTGATCCACCCGCCTCGGCCTCCCAAAGATGCTGGGATTACAGGCTTGAGCCACCGCACCCGGCTAGAACTGCTTTTCTACCATGAGTTTGCTTATCCAAACTAAAGGAAGAAAGCAGTAGGCTACCAATCCCAAAGAACTCCCCACTTAACAATGGAATAAAGGCAGAAATTAATTTAAAAAAGGAAAACAAAAAAAAATTTTTAATAAAAATAAAAGGAACCCCCCACCTGCAATAGTCTCTAACATGGTACCTTGTTTATTTCCTTCCTGGCACTTGAATACTCTCAAATCATTTTAATTAGTTGCTGTCTAGCCATCTCCTCTAATATATAAGTTTCTTGAAGGCAGGAAACTTGTATGTCTCCTTCACTAACGTATCCTCTGCATGTATCACCTGGCACAGTGTGAGGAACACTGCTGTCAGTAGATATTTCTTGAATGAATGAACAATTACTATACACTGGATCATTTCAGAGTTAACTAGTGTTTTGATGCTAGCAGAGGAGTAAATTGATAGCTAAAACTATTCAAAATACATGAATAGGCCAGCTGCAGTGGCTCACGCCTTTGATCTCAGTACTATGGGAGGCTGAGGCAGGTAGGTCACCTGAGGTCAGGAGTTCGAGACCAGCCTGGCCAACATGGCGAAACCCTGTATCTACTAAAACCACAAAGATTAGCTGGGTTGCGTGCCCCTGTAATTCCAGCTACTCAGGAGGCTGAGCCAGGAGAATCACTTGAACCCACAGCAGGCAGAGGTTGGAGTGAGCCAAGTTTGTGACACTTCACTCCAGCCTGGGTGAAAGAGTGACTCTCCATCTCAATAAATAAATAAAATAAGCTATTCCACAAAGCAGAGTGGGGACCCCAAAGGTTCATAACAAGAGTCAATCTCTATTAACCTTATGAATCTAGGAAACATGTCTACTCCAAAACATGTCTTTCTCCATGTGGGACAGATGACTGCCAAGTAAGTTCAACTGAAAACGATCTCCTCTTTCAGACTCTGGCAGAACCATGTCCCTGACCTGACAGCCTGGCACCAATCCAACGTTCCTCTGAGGTTAAAAGTCCCAACTAGGGAAGCAATAATAGAGTGATGAAAAATCTCTGACCAAATTCTGCCAGGTTTTCAGCTTTCTATAGAAGAGTCATTCATAAGTTGCCAGGTACACTTGCCCTACCACACCCACCAATCTCCTGCCTTTTGGGAAAGGTCAAAGTATAATTCTTGAAAGCACTAAGTGACAAGGCAAATACAAAAGATTTGTGGGTTATTAAATCAGCAGGTCACTAACTTGCTAAAACTGGATTTTTTTTTCTTTTTTGAGAGAGAGAGAGAGAGAGAGAGGGGGGGAGAGAGAGAGAGAGAGAGAGAGAGAGAGAGAGAGAGAGATGGCAAAATAGAAAGTATTCTCTCTTGTCCTGTTCTAGTAGTACAAGAGATCTGTGAGTGCAGGGACACAATTTCTTCATTTTCGTAGCTCCAACATCTAGTATAGCATCTATAATATAGTAGGTAGTCAAATGCCTGATGAATAAATGATTCAATGACTAAGCCAACTTCCACATCAGCTACCAACAAACAAACCAATTTGAAGCTTACCAGATCAGAAATTCTAGGGCGCTTCTTATCACCCTTCTATTTCTAAAGTTTTAAAAACTCTCCTTTCTAAAGGGACGTCAACCATACTGTCACTACTCTCACCACCCTCACATTATGGGAGTTTACCTACATACACCTATATGTATTAACTAGGTGACTTTGGTCAAATTACTTACAGGGTTTCAGTTGCCTCTTCTATAACCTAGACTTGGATTAGATGACTCCTAAGATACTTTCAAGGTTTAAAAAATAAACTTCTTCAGTTCACTACAGCCTCATAATCTATTATCTTTGACTGTCTATCAGTCTAGATATTATTAATGTTAAATTTACCTGAGTTTCAATATCATAATTATCAGAAAGAACTACTAATAATACATAAAGAATTTTTGGTCTAAGATTCTTCAAATTTAAAATGTCAAGATATAAAGTAAATTAGTCCCTTACCTTCAGGAATTAGGAATTAAATACCTTTAGAATTAATAGATGAATAAATCCCCCCCTCCCAATACAGGCAAGAATTTCTTCTCCAAACCCATTTTAGCCACAGCCTTAGGTTACAGGAAGTGGTAGTAGCTCAAATAACTTACATACACGAATAATCCAAAACCAAGTGCTTAGCTGCAAAATAAATTTTAATCTTCTTTCTTTTTTTTGAGACAGAGTTTCACTCATTACCCAGGCCGGAGTGCAATGGCGCAATCTCAGCTCACCACAACCTCCGCCTCCTGGGTTCAGGCAATTCTCCTGCCTTAGCCTCCTGAGTAGCTGGGACTACAGGCGCCTGCCACCATGCCCAGCTAATTTTTGTATTTTTAGTAGAGACGAGGTTTCACCATGTTGACCAGGATGGTCTCGATCTCTTGACCTCGTGATCCACCCACCTCGGCCTCCCAAAGTGCTGGATTATAGGCATGAGCCACCACACTGGCCTAATCTTCTTTCTTTAAAAAAAAAAAAGTAATGCGGCCGGGTGCGGTGACTCACGCTTTAGTCCCAGCACTTTGGGAGGCTGAGGCGCGCAGATCATGAAGTAGAGTCAGGAGATAGAGACCATCCTGGCTAACATGGTGAAACTCTGTCTCTACTAAAACTACAAAAAATTGGCTGGGGGTGGTGGTGCATGCCTGTAGTCCCAGCTACTCAGGAGGCTGAGGCAGGAGAATCGCTTGAATACAGGAGGCGAAGGTTACAGTGAGCTGAGATCACGGCAATGCACTCTAGCCTGGGTGACAGAGCAAGACTCTATGTCCAAAAAAAAAAAAAAAGTAATGCAACTGTAAAGCCATTTTAATAACGTTCTGAGAGAATGTGAGAAATATACAACAAGTACACAAAATACCAATCACAAACAGGTGCTCAGCAGAAAGGAAAAGAGTTGACTAAGCCATAGGCATGTAGGCAATTTCACAGCCAGACACAGACTTCTGAGTGAGAGAAGTGAATGAAAACCAGTGTTATGGCATCATAGAGCTCACATGTCAACATAGCACACAGGCCATACTTCTCAAAAAAACATTTTAACAAAATAATTTACCGGTTTAACATTCTCTAGAATGCCCTGCTCTTTAGCAAACATTTGAGGCACTAAGCCAAACTTCTTAACAGCACATTCTTATATTTGATGTCTCCAGGTGCATACTGTGGACCCTGACCTAACCCCAACAAGTGAGAACAACAGCTTTTGTTATATCACCACTAACACCTGGCTTAAGCTTTTCAAATTCCAAATGGAGATACCAAAGCCAATGATTAAAACACAGTGTTTGGTTAGGCATGGTGGCTCACGCCTGTAATTCCAGCACTTTGAGAGGCCGAGGCAGGCAGATCACCTGAGGTCAGGAGTTTGAGACCAGCCTGGCCAACATGGTGTAACCCCGTCTCTACTAAAAATACAAAAATTAGCCTGGCATGGTGGCTAGTCCCAGCTTCTAGGGAGGCTGAGGCAGAAGGATCACTTAAACTAGGGAGGTGGAGGTTGCAGTGAGCTGAGATGGCACCACTGCACTCCAGCCTGGGCAACAGAGCAAGACTCTGTTTAAAAAAAAAAAGAAAAAGTTTGGGCTGGGCACAGTGGCTCCTGCCTGTAATCCTAGCACTTTGAGAAGCTGAGGCAGGACAGTCACTTGAGCCCAGGAGTTTGAGACCAGCCTGGACAACATAGTGGGACCCTGTGTCTAAAAAAATTTTTTAACTAGCTAAGCATGGTGGTGTGTGCCTATAGTCCCAGCTACTCAAGTGGCTGATGTGGGAAGACTGCTTGAGCCTGGGAGATCAAGGCTATGTGAGTGACAGTCATGCCCCTTCTCTCCAATCTGGGTGACAGAGTGAGACCCTGTTACAAAAAAAAAAAACATACACACACACACAGTCTTTGGCTCTGTCTTAGCACACAGGAGGAAGAAGAAAAAAATAACAGTGGCTTTCAACCTTTCAAATAAAACACAGGAGGCTCTCAACTATTTAACTGAATGGTGTAAATTCAATTAAATTTGATGCCCATTCTCATCTGGCATCAAAATCTTCCAACTGAAAGGGCCTTTAGCAATTTCTTAATCCAAATACCTGCCCCCATGCAAGA